TTAGGGTCCTTAGGTATAATTCTATACGTATCAACATCAGCCTAAGCCAGCATCATCTTTTCTATATAATCGGTCCAATCCAATACTTCCACTACTCCTTTGTCTGTCCTCGAGACTATTTGCTCGTGTTTTCAATGCTTTTTTGTGATATTTTAAATACATCTATTCTTATTTTGCGGTTCTACATGGTTATAAATCAGAGGAACAACCTTTATTTTAATCTCACTTTTAGTTTATTCTTCTAATCGGTCAGTGAAGTTAATAACCTCTAATAAAATCTCATCAGTGAATCTTTTACTATTTGACAAAGCATAATTATGGCCTCAAGATAGAACTTCTTCAGCATGAGAAGAAGATTAGACTAAGTTGGAGTCTGTTTTTGAACCTAAAATTGTCAACCAACTCGGGGTTGTTGCATACACACGCAAACACGCATCCAAGGAGCTGTAACAAGACCCAGAAATACTGGATCATGCTCTAGTTCATTTACATACACAAAAGTTGTGACCACATTCACTCCCCCTGCTTGCATCACTTTGACCAACTTACATGAATGTAGGACAAGCGTACGTCGTCCAACCAAATCAAGCAATGCCTCATTAAGATCGAAAAGTGAGGTATAAGAAGTAAGTAGGATCTCATTTTTTGTATGTAAGTTTCGAGACCACCAGTAAATCAGTAAAAAGAGATGTCTTCACCCTATTTCGTTTAAGGTGATGAATTCTCGCATAGTGATATGAGTAGAGCTGACGTTTCCACTTCCAGTAGGATCACAGCTGGCCACCTTTCTCGGTTTAGTTTTATTGGTCATTTTTCATAAACAATGGTTTCTGGCTCTGACGATATCGCCACATGGCGGACGAAAGCTCAGCACGGAGTTATCGGGGTGGCAGAAGAGTGAGCCGAGATTTTCTTCGCACAGTTCAACAGACAAAACTGCAAGGCAACCCTCCTACGGTATCCTGTGAGGTCAATCCACGAATCCCTTCGACCCACTTTCTCAGCGAAATGAAAGGTATCAATTTACCTTTCATTCCGTTTAAAGAGGCTAGTGAAAGGGATTCGTAAGTTGGCCTCACCGGAATCTGTATGAGGATTGCCTTGGTACTGTGACTGTAGATTTGTGCAAATAGGTCCTCGGCGCATCGCTATGAGACCCCGATGAATCCTTGATGAGCTTTCGTCCGTTAGGTGAAGGACATCGTCAGGGCAGGACACCATATTACCCCTAATGCTGAATGCCGATGACAGTTGTGATTTCAGTATTAAGTGGATTTTTTAGAGGATGAAATAATGTTCACAGTTGCAAAGCTGATTAACTGATTAAGTAATGATGTGATAGCTTGGCTTCTTCCTATTTTGAAATTGACGGTGATTTGATGTACAGATATTCACAGAAGAAAAAGCAACCTCATAGGTACGTGGAATTTATGTAGTGACCCAATTTTGTTAATTTGACGGATGCTCATGGTAGGCATTAGCGACATATGCATACCTTACTTAGAAGGATTATACCACTTATAAAATAAAATTTCATGGAATTTTTTGGCCTCAATAAATATCCTTTTTTGTCTACTCAGCATCTTTGTAATAAAAGCTAGTTTTTCAAACAAGTAAGCATAAAGTACCAATGT